GCAAATTGAGAAGAAAGACCTCAGTATGGTAGCGAGGCATTGGTTCAACTTCATCAGTACCACAATTATGTCATCCCAAAACGAGTCCATCCTCCACCACACAACGGTGGCCTATCTTGGATCCATCATTGCAAGAAAGCTCATCAATTTTGGTATAATCATTTGATAAGAGATGGCCATGATGTCCAGGCAACGCAAGACATCTCTCCCATTCCCGGTGTTGATCACCAAATTATGTAGACGAGCTCGGGTGCCACGTTATGAGAAGAAGGACATGGAAATGATTCCCACCTCCTGTACCGACATCCGGCGCATTGAGGCTGCATATTTGAAAGATGAGGCTCAAAAGAAGAGGGCAGCCCTGATGGATGCATCCCTGGCTGTTGATAGTGAGACATTACATACAGAGGCAATATTGCCTACTCCGGCCTCTGGCCTTCAGGTGTTTCTAGCTCTGCCCCTTCCATGACTCTGAGTTCTTCTATTATTGCCTTGCCTCCTAGGTCTGTTGCTAGTACTTCCTCCAGACCTCCACTCACCCAGGCTATACTGCTATGGATGCGGCACCTAGCCTATTCTGTTGATGTACGTGCCGCCAGACTAGAGGATATAGTACTTGGGATGACTAAGAGATCGCACAGATGTTGTGATACCTCTTAGAGAGTCTTTTGATTCCCTCACGGCAAGGATAGAGGTGTGTGAGAGAAGTGAGAGAGCCAGTCATGAAGTAATGGCCCTAAATGCCACAATTGCACAGTTGAGAAAATATATGGACCAGCTGAAGTCCACAGATATGTCGATGATTTTTGGGACCATAGAGATCCCTGATGACCTGGACATAGATATTCCAGCTCATTCTGATGTGCCTCCGACTGCCACCGAAGATAAGGTTAGAGCTGATGATTTGGATGCAAAATCTTAGCCTGAGAGTGATGAGGAGCAACTTGGTGTTCAGGAGGAGACTACGTATGAGGGCCTGACTGAGGTTGAGGAGGGTATGGTGCATTCAGTCGTTCAGACTTCGTGGAGGAAGACTTCCATGGCAGGCTCTAGTGGAGCCAGTGTTGATGTTACCCCGGGCACTGATGCCCAAGACCAGAGTGTGATCCCGGGCATTGATGCCCTGACAGACGGAGCGATTGTGTAGACAAGATCACTCTTTACCTCCTTCTCTGTTGTTTTTATTTATCTTTGTTTTAGATGCATTTGAGGACAACTGCTTTTCTTTTGTGGGTGGGGTGAGGTATTTCCATATCTATCTCTCGTGTTTGATTTTGTTTGTGAATATTGGTGAATATTGGGTTTTGTGATCTATTTTTGGTCTTGATCTTATTTTGTGGATATTTGAGCTTATGGCTTCTTGTTTTGAAAGGAAATGGTTTTTGACCTATTTTGAAAATTTTGTACCACCTCTTTTGTGTGTGATTGTGGTTGTTCTTGTGCAAATTTGAGTGTCGGTGATGATCAATACCGATGACTTAAATAGTGCTCTTAATTGAACCAAATGAATGTGCGGCTACGATAAGGCTAAATAAAGTTACATAGACAATCTGTGAACTTTTTGCGTCTCGTTGTGACTAGCCGATTATCGAATGAGTCTCTTGTGATGAACATTGCACACTAGCTAGAAAGTGTGGAGTCTTGTTTGATATTGGTGTCAATGCCTTGTGTGATGAGTTTGCTTTGAACATTGTGTGATGACACCTAGAATTTGCCCCGTTGGTCCCGTTGACTAAGTGATGCAAGCACTAGAAATGATCTTAGGCAACAATTTTAAAGAGTGAAAACAATTTGACAATATACCTTTTTTGTGGCCAACCTTGTGAGATGTGTGAACCTTGCTTGAATCCCCTTGAGCCTCATTCCTTTTCTTGGAAGAAACTTGAACAATTGTGACCCCACTTTATCCATTCACCCATAACTCTCATGAAGTGTGGCTTGATTGAATAGCCAACTTAGGCCAAAAGCCTAAAGTGAGGGTGTGGTGAAAAGAGAAGGAAAATCAAGAAGTGTGAGAAATTCCCCTTTTGAGAATGGTTTTTTTTTTAAATGAAACCCCTCTATGTAAAAAAAAAAAAAAGAACAGAAAAGAGAAAACAAGCAAAGAAAAAGAATGAAAAAGTTGTGAAATAAGTGATGAAAATTGCAAAAGAAACGGTGTGTCCGGTAATTCATGGGGTGGATTACAAGCTTGTTTGCATTGCTAAAGAAAAGGAGGAATATGATGTTCAGGCCACACTTCATGAGGGTAGCAGCCACGGAGCCTAAATGACCATACCTTTACACTCAGCCCTGTTACAAGCCTTGAAAAGACCTTTGTGATCTTAAATGAGCTGAAACGAGTGTTGATTGGAAAATAAGGGCAAACTTGTGGGTGAAGTCATGCATGTGTTCATCTTTGTGAGTGTGAGAGTTGTATGTGATTCCGGAACTACAAATTGTTGAAAAATTGTGTGAATATGGAGTCATCTTTGTTGTGAGGGTATTTAAGTACCTTTGTTGAGGTTGAACTTGCATTTGAAGCAAGTATTGTGAACTTGAGCATCTTTGATAATAGTGAGTCACAATTTGAATCTTTGAGTGCACGATTGATCATTGCATGAGTAAGTTGAGTCTTGTTGTGTGCATTCATGTTTAGTCTTATGCAACACTGTTTGAGTCATCCTTTTTGAAATACTGAACTTGAGGACAAGCAAAAGTTTTTTAAGTTGGGGGTGTTGATAAGTCCTAGATTTGGACTCATTTAGGGCTTTGTTTTTATAGAGTTAATGTCCTCAAATGCTTAATTTGTGCCATAAAATGATGTTAAATCCTTGATTCTCAGGTATATGGATTGAGAAACAAAGCAAGGACACTAACAGGAAAAAAGGAACAAACCAAGCTGAAAAAATGAAGAAGGGCGAGCTTGAAGATCGCCAAGAGCACTTGGCGTGTCGCCGAGTGGCTCATCTGACCGCATAAAGTTCTAGTGTGCCAAGCCCTCAAGGAAGAAACCTAGTCAACGATGAAAAGGAGCAGTCGGCGAATCTCCGAGCAGTTCCACGAAGCAAAGATAGATCTCCCAAAGTTACAGACTTCGAGGATGCTAAATGCTAAGGCGAAAGGTGATGGAAGAGGTCAAAGGGTGACTTACCAGTTGTTCGGCGAGCCCGACTTACTTCGCCGAGTAGTCCTTCGTGGCTTATTTTCGGCAACTATAAATTACATTTTGAACATTAATTTAGCATCAAATTTTTAATCCATTCTAGTCAAGAACAGTTTTCTCTGAAGTTTCTAAGTAGACTTGAAGGTTTTGAGACTCAATTTGGAGATTTTGCAAGTGGGTTTTGAATTTTCTTCGAATTGGAGCATTGTAAAGCTTGAATTCCTCTTACCCAATTGATGGCTTATCAATTTGGTAACGGTATTTATCTTTTTATGATGTTCGGCTAAAACCTCAATTCTTGGGGTGTGATCATGTGATTATGAGTTGAATTAGTTTATGGATATTGTTAATTACTAGTTTAAATGCTATTTTGAAGTGAGTTTAATCATTAATTGAGGATTAATTTATGAATTGTAGTTGCAAATGTTGTTCTATCTTTGTGTTCTTGGCTTGCTTGAGAGAGAGGTTTTAGAACTAAGATTATTGATTGATGATTTGTGGGTATTGGGTTGAGCTGGGTTTAGCTCGAGAGAGTGAATCCTAAACCCAATCCTACCCATCTAGCTTGAAAGAGTAGATGAATTAAGGTGCGGGCTGTTCTTCATAGTCATGCTTGTTGATGTTCGAAAGAAATCACATGATTCGGGGTTGTTGCTCGAGAGAAAGTTATCTCCCTTATGTTCTAGCCTACTCACTGATATTTAGCTATTTACTAGTAGTTTCAATTGCCCATATATCGAATTTGCCTATAATCGATCAATTCCCGAGAATCCTTCTCCCTATTGGTATTTCAAATTGTTTGTGACTGCTTGTAGTTGATAATTGCAAACTAAAACCCCCATCTGACATTTGTGTCACCCCTTTAATTTGATACGTTTTTTTCGATAGTGTTTATTCCTATAGCTGATTAGACTGCATTGATACTTCTTAATTGAATTTAAAACACATACCGCTCCCTGTGGGATTTGACCCTAACTCATTTAGTTGGGCTTTATACTGATTTACGATCGTTGACACTTAGAATTGGAAGAAGTGTGCTTGAATCATTAAATCACAACCTCACCACACAAGGCATTCGACATAATTATCAACTAAGACTTTACACTTTCTAGCTAGCATGCAATGATCATACAAAAGATTGACTCGACAACCGGCTAGTCATAACAAGATTCTAGGAGTTCACATATGACCTATGTGACTCAATTTGCCTCATCGTAGCCGCACACTCATGTCGTTCAATTAAGAGCATTATTAAAGTCATCGGTATTGATCACAACAGACACTCAAAATTGCAAAAGAATAGTCATATTCAAACACGTCAAGAGGTGGTCTTTAGAACAAGTTCATCCCCCACCAAAAACATTCTATAGTGTCCTCAATGTAGAAAGACAAGAACATAAAATAAATATAGAAGTAGAAAGACAATAGCACTGAATGAAAATAATAGGGTCAGGAGGATTCTTCACTATGTGTCCAGTCGACGAAGGGTTGTGGAGAGCGCCGAACTATTCGGCACACCGCCTAACTGTATGCAGCTCGCCAAAATATCCAGAGCACTGGCTCTCCAGTTGGAACCAAAAGGCGTTAGAAATCGGGCTCACCGAATAGCATCGGCGCATCGCCAAGTATGCTAAAACCGTTGCCAAACATTCCAGACCACCGGTCCTTCAGGAGTGGTCAAAGGATGATGAAGTTTGGGATCGCCGAACCTCTTCGGAGCATTGTCGAGTGTCCTGGCTGCTTCGCCAAATATTCCAGAATTGCAGCCCTCCCCTTATGTGAAGAGGGCGAGCCAAATCGCGACTGCCATTCCACTTGGCGGCTCACCGAAATGGCCATACCTTCTCAAAATCACCTATACCTGCACATTTAACACATATTATTCAAAAACAACTAAAGCTTGGGTTGCCTCCTAAGAAGCACCTTATTTAACGTCGTGCCACGACGTGGAAATGCTTTCAAGCATCTTCCAAATACACCACTTCGATTGTCGAAATCTCATGAAATTCTCAAAAATAGAGTTTCAGACGCTGCCCATTCACCTTGAAAGTCGGACCCTCTTTACTTAATTTCAATTGCCCCATTTGTGAACACTCGGGTTACCTTGTATGGACCAGACCACTTTGACTTAAGCTTACCGGTAAAAGTCTCAACCGAGAATTGTAGAGAAACACAAAATCACCTACTTGGAATTCACGCTGAAGGATTTTGGTGTCATGACACCTCTTCATCTTCTCCTTATACAGGGATGAACTTTCATATGCTCTCAACCGAAATTCCTCCAACTCATGAAATTGATTCACTCTCCCTTTCGCAGCCTTCTCCCAGTTCATATTTAGTGTCTTCAAATCCCATTGAACCTTATGCTCAAGCTCAATTAGAAGGTGACATGACTTTCCAAACACTAAATGGTATGGTGACAGACCAATCGGTGTTTTGAACACAGTACGATATGCGCATATCGAATCATCCTATTTTTTAGACTAATCTGTCCTATTTGCATTCACCATTTTGGCCAAAATACCTTTAATTTCTCGATTTGAAACCTCCACTTGGCCGCTTGTTTGTGGGTGGTATGGTGTGGCAACTTTGTGCTTGACCCCATATTTTCTCAATAATGAGGGAAATACCCGGTTGCAAAAACCAGATCCTCCATCACTGGTGATAGCACGCGGGATGCCAAATCGTGCAAAAATATATCGCTTTAAGAATTGCACCATACTCTTTCTCTTATTGTTGGGTAATGCTATAGCTTCCACCCATTTGGAAACGTAATCAACCGCCACCAAAATATACTTTTTTCCAAAAGAACTCACAAACGAACCCATGAAATATATACCCCAAACATCAAACAACTCCACTTCTAAGATAGGGTTGAGAGGTAATTCATTCTTTCTTGATACCCCTCCTTGATTTTGGCAAGGAATGTAATGTTTCACAAAGTCAAGTGTGTCTCGGTATAGAGATAGCCAATAGTAGCCACATTGAAGCACTTTTGTTGTTGTTCACATTCCACTGTGATGCCCACCAACAGGTGAGGTGTTACACGCATTAAGAATTTCATTGACTTCTTCTTTTGGTACACATCGACGAATGATATATGGTTCGTGCAAATTCTCTAAATATATATGGTTCATCCCAGAAGTACTTCTTTACATCAAACAAGAACCAATTCCACTGGTAGGAGTTCAAATCATTAGGCATAATTCCACACACCACATGGTTAGAAATATTAGCATACCAAGGGGTGTTGCTTTGGGTCAGCTTGATCACTGTTTCGTCTTGGAATTCAGCCACAATGTCCCTTTCTTTAGAGTTGGTCATATTGGTTTCTAACTGCGACAAATGATCTGTCACTTGATTCTCACACCCCTTTCGATCCTTTACTTCAAAATCAAACTTTTGCAACAACAAGAACCACCTAATCAACATTGTCTTAGCATCTTTCTTTTCCATTAAGTACCGTAACACTGCATGATCAGTATGAACTTTCACTTTTGTGCCCAACAAATATCCCCTGAACTTTACAAATGCATATACTATAGCAAGTAGTTCTTGTTCAGTGACGGTGTAGTTATGTTGTGCTCTATTTAGCGACTTACTAGCGTAATAAATTGAATGAAATATTTTGTTACGCTTCTGCCCTAACACGGATCCTATAGAGATACCACTTGCATCACACATCACCTCAAATGGTTCAGACCAATCCGGGATAATGATCAATGGGGTAGAGATTAGATTTTCTTTCAAACACTCAAAAGCTTTTGAGCAAGCATCATCAAAAAGAAACTTTGCCTCTTTCTCCAATAGCTTTCATAATGGGTGTGCAATTTTTGAGAAATCTTTGATGAATCTTCGATAGAACCCAGCATGACCCAAAAAACTTTGAATACCTTTTATACATATAGGTGGTGGAAACTTCTCAATAACCTCGATCTTTGCTTTGTCTACCTCCAATCCCTTCTATGACACCTTGTGACCTACGACTATGCCTTCCTTGACCATGAAATAGCATTTCTCCCAATTAAGAGCTAGGTTGGTTTCTACACACCTTTGAAGGACCTGCCCAAGATTAGACAAACATGTCTCAAATGAATCACCTACAACTGAGAAATCATCCATGAAGACTTCCGTTGAGTCTTCCACCATGTCAGCCAAAATAGAAAGCATGCACCTTTGAAATGTCGCCGGAGTATTGCACATTCAAAATGTTATTCTATTGAAGGCAAAAGACCCATAGGGACATGTGAAAGTGGTTTTCTCTTGTTCTTACGATGCAATATAGATTTGGTTTTACTCGGAGTAGCCATCCAAGAAACAGTACCATCCACACTCCACAAATCTATCAAGCATTTGATCCATAAACGGCACTGGGAAAATAATCTTTCTCGGTCCAAGAATTTAACTTCCGGTAGTCCATGCATACTCTTTATCTGGTGACAGGCCTCATAGGTACAAGTTCTTTTTTCTCCTTCGGGACCACCGTGATGCCTCCCTTCTTGGACACACATTGTACGGGACTTACCCATTTGTTATATGCGATAGGGTACACCACACCTGCATCTAGCCATTTAATGATCTCTTTCTTCACCACCTCTTGCATAGGTGGGTTTAGTCTACTTTAATTCTCAACACTTAGTTTGCATTCACTATACAATTAGATTTTATGAGTGCAAATTCTAAATGGATTACCTACATTATCGACAATTATCCATCCTATTGCCTTGATGTAACGTTTCAACACCTCAAGAAGCAATTTCACTAGCCACTCAAGCAAGTCCTCTGCAATGATAACGGGCAAGGTATTATTCGCCCCAAAGAACGCAAACCGAAGATGAGCAGGGAGCACTTTCAACTCAAGCAAAGGAGGTTCCTCCATGGATGGTTTAGTAGGAGGACTCTCTCGATTCTTTAGATCAATGTCTAGTTTCAATGGGTTTCTTGAGTAGGCTTCTAGTCCCGATAGAGCAGCTACCACTTCATCATACCCTTGAACTTCGGTCTCATCATAATTCGAAAGAACAACCTGAAGAGGTTCATCCATACACATCTTTTCACTCACACTAGCCACTGCCTCATCAATCACATCGATCGTTGGAACTACATGAATGTCACTAGGTTACTTCATTGATTTGCACACATTGAAGTGACCTCCTCTTCATTTACCTGGAACTTTAACTCACCGCTTTAAACATCCACTAGAGCTTTTCCAGTTGCCAAAAATGGTCTACCCAAAAAAATAGGAACTTCTGCATCAATTTCACAATCTAGAATAACAAAATCAGCTGGAAAGATAAATCGATCAACCTTCACCAATATGTAATAAAGTATCTCAACGGGGTGTTTGATAGACCGGTTTGCCATAAGAAGTCACATTGTTGTGGATTTGGGTTTACCCAACCCAAGTTGTTTGAAGATTGCATATGGCATCAAGTTTATACTCGCTCCAAAATCACATAAAGCTTTGGCAAACTAAAGCATACCAATGGTACATGGGATCGTGAAAGCCCCCGGATCCTCTTTCTTTGTAATCACATCGCTAGTCACAATGGTACTACAATTATGATAAACTTCCATTGTTTTGAAGTCCATGCTTCTCTTCTTAGTGACCAGCTCCTTCATGAATTTTGCATATCCCTGCATCTACAATAATGCTTCCACTAAAGGAAGGTTTATGGAAAGTGTCTTGAACACGGAAAGGAATTTCTTGAACTTTTCATCTCGTTTTTCTTTTTGAGACGTTGAGGGAATGGGGGATTTATTTTGGGAAGAGGTTGCACTATCTTTGGAGTTGATGTAGCCTTTTCTTTAGCTTTTTGCAACTCTTCGGTGGGACTTTGCTTAGGACTCTCTTCCTCCTCTTTGAGCATGTCATTTTCCGGTGCTTGACCGGGTCTCTCTTTCTCAACGATGTCTTTTTCTTCTTCATAAGAATTTTTCCAATCATTAACATTCACATTACCTACTGCTATCTTCCCACTTCGAGTTAGAACTACCAAATCTTTTTCATTATCAGCCCTCAAATTTGTTGCACACTCCACTTCACCTCTTTCAAAAACCTTGGGGTCTAATTGTGCTGAAAGTTGGCTCATTTGACCCTCAAGTTATTTGATTGCATCCGCGTGAGAATTTACCCTATTATTCAATGATGATAAATCAGCTTTCATCTCCTTAAGCATGTCATCATATCCTTCAACCTTATCTAGGATACGCAACAACAGTTCATCCACTCGTAGGTTGCCTGAACTACCCTTAGATCTTGAGTTGTCACTAGATTGTGTGTGGTACTCTTCATGACTATCTTCTCTCTTCCAAGGGTAATTTTGTTCAGTCCAATCTTGATTGTATCGTCTCCGTTCTTCTTCATTATGCGAGTTCCAACCTTGATTCCCATATGACTTTAAATAGCTCGGGTGAGAACCCTCCTCAAGTCTAAATACTCTTTTTAATTCTTTATGTTCACCAACGATTTCTAGCACTTGTTTTCTCAACAACTCCATTTGGGACATCATTTTGCTAATATTTTCATCCCTCTCTTTCTCCTTTTCAAGTTTATCTTTTGTCATCCTTAAATTTAAGGGAGACACTTGGTCTTCTTGAGTATACCATGCCCGATTTATCTTTGTCATTTCATCAAGAAGAGACGAGGCTACCTCAAATGGTTGTAACATTATCCCTCTTCATGCCATCTAGTCGGCTACTCCTTTGTTCACTGAGTCTAAACTCCAGTAAAATATTGAAGTATCACATTACTTGGAAGCCCATGAGTAGGACACTGTAGTAGTAACTTTTGAAATCTCAATCAAGTTTCATGAATCAGTTCCCCTTCTACTCGCTTGAAGTTCAGGATACTGTCACGCAATTTCACCATTTCTTAGGGTGGAAAGAACCTTCTGTAGAATGCCTCGGTAAGCTCTTCCCATGACGTAATAGAGTCCCTTGGTAGACCTTCTAACCATTTGGTTGCCTCCACCATCAAGGAAAAAGGGAACAACCGGAGCCGAACGGATTCTTGTGAAATATTCTTGAGCGAGAAGGGACTACATATATCCACAAAATTCCAAATAAGGTCATGGGGGTTCTCATGATCCAGCCCTCCAAATACACCTTAGCTTGCAAGAGTTGCAACATCATGTTTGTCACATGGAATGCAGCATAACCCACAACCAGAGGTATGCGAATAGTGCCTACGCTCCCCAATTGAGATTCATTGGCATGATTGAAGTCACCAATATCATCTTGGTGACCAAGTTGGTTCATTGTGCTTTCATTTGCACTCATTTTGTCACCTGATCACAAACAACTCACAACACAAGGTAAGTCGATACAACTACAACACAAAAAGATCACAATTCAAACTTCAATAAGAGAATTCTAAACACCACTCCTCGGCAGCGGCGTCATTTTTGATAAATGCTCAACTACACCTCATCCAATACTAGGTGTAGACGATCGTAATCTAGTATAAAACCCAACAAATGAGTTGGGGTTGAACTCACAGGGAGTTGTACAAGTTCAAATTCGACTATAAAGTTATAAAAGTGGTCTAATTGGTTATAGGAATAGAAATTATCAAACTCAATTAAATAAGTAAAAGGGGCGACACGAATGTCAGATGGGGGATTAGGTATGTGAACTAGAAACTAAAGCAATTACGAAAAATAGGGAAGTAATCAAGTAATTAAGGGGTACTTAGGGGTGTGACCGAATAATTGCAAAC